ATCACAGAAGCTCTAGCAAAATGGTTTGCACAGGGTCCATAATGCTGAGCTGTTAAAAAGGCTGGGGAGGGGGGGGGGAGGGGGTGGAGGGGTGGAGTCAAATCCACCAAAAAGTGCTTATGGCATTACAGAAATTTAATTTGGCCCCGGATACCAGGTAATGTCCTGAGAACTAAAGTGGCTGGTATATTGTTGACCTCATCAGCCACTGAGTGCTGGCTGGTATATAGCTGACCTCATCCCCCACTGAGTGCTGGCTGGTATATTGTTGACCTCATCACCCACTGAGTGCTGGCTGGTATATTGTTGACCTCATCAGCCACTGAGTGCTGGCTGGTATATTGTTGATCTCATCACCCACTGAGTGCTGGCTGGTATATTGTTGATCTCATCACCCACTGAGTGCTGGCTGGTATATTGTTGACCTCATCACCCACTGAGTGCTGACTGTTATATTGTTGACCTCATCACCCACTGAGTGCTGACTGTTATATTGTTGATCTCATCACCCACTGAGTGCTGGCTGGTATATTGTTGACCTCATCACCCACTGAGTGCTGGCTGGTATATTGTTGACCTCATCCCCCACTGAGTGCTGACTGTTATATTGTTGACCTCATCACCCACTGAGTGCTAACTGTTATATTGTTGACCTTATCACCAACTGAGTGCTGGCTGGTATATTGTTGACCTCATCACCCACTGAGTGCTGGCTGGTATGTTGTTGACCTTATCACCCACTGAGTGCTGGCTGGTATGTTGTTGACCTTATCACCCACTGAGTGCTGACTGGTATATTGTTGATCTCATCACCCACTGAGTGCTGGCTGTTATATTGTTGATCTCATCACCCACTGAGTGCTGGCTGTTATATTGTTCATCTCATCACCCACTGAGTGCTGACTGTTATATTGTTGACCTCATCACCCACTGAGTGCTGACTGTTATATTGTTGATCTCATCACCCACTGAGTGCTGACTGTTATATTGTTGATCTCATCACCCACTGAGTGCTGACTGTTATATTATTGATCTCATCACCCACTGAGTGCTGACTGTTATATTGTTGATCTCATCACCCACTGAGTGCTGACTGTTATATTGTTGATCTCATCACCCACTGAGTGCTGACTGGTATATTGTTGATCTCATCACCCACTGAGTGCTGACTGTTATATTGTTGATCTCATTACCCACTGAGTGCTGACTGTTATATTGTTGACCTCATCAGCCACTGAGTGCTGGCTGGTATATTGTTGACCTCATCACCCACTGAGTGCTGGCTGGTATATTGTTGACCTCATCACCCACTGAGTGCTGGCTGGTATATTGTTGACCTCATCACCCACTGAGTGCTGACTGGTATATTGTTGACCTCATCAGCCACTGAGTGCTGACTGGTATATTGTTGACCTCATCAGCCACTGAGTGCTGACTGTTATATTGTTGACCTCATCACCCACTGAGTGCTGACTGGTATATTGTTGATCTCATCAGCCACTGAGTGCTGGCTGGTATATTGTTGATCTCATCAGCCAGTGAGTGCTGACTGTTATATTGTTGATCTCATCACCCACTGAGTGCTGGCTGTTATATTGTTGATCTCACCACCCACTGAGTGCTGGCTGTTATATTGTTGATCTCATCACCCACTGAGTGCTGGCTTGTATATTGTTGATCTCATCACCCACTGAGTGCTGACTGTTATATTGTTGATCTCATCACCCACTGAGTGCTGACTGTTATATTGTTGATCTCATCACCCACTGAGTGCTGACTGGTATATTGTTGATCCCATCACCCACTGAGTGCTGACTGGTATATTGTTGATCTCATCACCCACTGAGTGCTGGCTGGTAAATTGTTGACCTCATTACCCAGTGAGTGCTGACTGGTATTTTGTTGATCTCATCACCCACTGAGTTCTGGCTGGTAAATTGTAGACCTTATTACCCAGTGAGTGCTGACTGGTATATTGTTGACCTCATCACCCACTGAGTGCTGGCTGGTAAATTGTTGACCTCATCACCCACTGAGTGCTGACTGGTATATTGTTGACCTCATCACCCACTGAGTGCTGGCTGTTATATTGTTGACCTCATCACCCACTGAGTGCTGGCTGTTATATTGTTGACCTCATCACCCACTGAGTGCTGACTGTTATATTGTTGACTTCAGCACCCACTGAGTGCTGACTGGTATATTGTTGATCCCATCACCCACTGAGTGCTGACTGGTATATTGTTGACCTCATCACCCACTGAGTGCTGGCTGTTATATTGTTGACTTCAGCACCCACTGAGTGCTGACTGGTCTTTAGAAATATGAACCCAGCAGCATATGTCTGACATGCCACTGGTATGGCAAAGGTCCTTGACCTACTGACATACACCATGATACAGATGATGACCGCAGAGTCAGGAAAATGACATAACATGAACATATAGAGAGCTTACATACATGTGCATAAAATGTAAGAGCTGATGTGTTGGACCAAAGGCACTCTATGGGGACAGTGAACATAACATGGAAATGGTGAACATTGGTAATTATGACATTAAACAGATGGAGAAAAAAAACTGTCAAACTATCAATTAAACAAATTTAGCCACACACACAAACTTTGCACAATTTACTGACTGACAGATATATCACATGCTTGATTGCTGTGTGACTGCATGGGACCCATGGGGGGGGGGGGGGGGGGGGGAGAGGGGAATAGACCCACTGTGCCCTATCATGCATGTATAAAAGGTTACTACAATTAGGAGTGTTTCCTTTTAAGTCAGAGTGCATCTGTCTGAGAAGAGACAAGGAACTGAAAGAAATAAGCCCAATCTTTAAAATATGTGCAAACAAAACTAAATTCTTGAAGAAGACCAAAATTCAAAATTGGACAAACATAAAGAACGTTCTGCCAGAGTTTACAGCCAAAGAACAGTTTTAAAAAAAAGGGAAGAATGAGAACAATCGTTACTTTTGTTGACAACATGGGGGATTGTTTCTCATTAACTGTCATGGCATCCGCCAGTTTTAGTGAACGCCTGGTAAATAATTCAAGAATGCACATTTATCTCTCTCTTGCATGGAGTCCGTGGAAAGGACTCATTATTTGTGCATCATTATATGTAGGGGAGTCGCCGTGGCCGAGCGGTTAGATGCTCGTTGCGGATCGGAAGGTCGTGGGTTCGCTCCATGGCGGAGCCGAAGTTGTTTCAAAAATGACCTTGGCTCCCAGGTCGACCCAGCCTTGAGTGGGTACCGGGTGCAGTCCCAAGAAAGTAAAGGCGGCCGGCGTGATGCTGGCCACATCACCCATCTTGTGCCGATTAGTCTATAAAAATATAGGTCTAGCCCTATATGCCCTATACGCCTGATGGCGTGGAAAAGGGTCCTTTACTTACTGACTTTACTTATTATATGTAGATGTGACTGGTAAACATTTGTCAAAATACAACAAAATATGTCAGGCAATAAATTGTGCAATGTATGCTTTTTGGTCAACATTGTTAAAATTATATAGATTCTCTCTGCATAATATCATTTTCATCATTCATCTGAAAGACTAGATTTTTAGCAAATTATCTTCTCCACAGATGCCACCATTTAAGGTTTCTTTAACCTCAGATTTAACATGCACAGCATAAAGTGGCTGTAAAAACAATGAACTCAATTTACAAAACTACATCTAGTTTGGCTTCAGTTGGTTAAGTCCACGTTAAATAAAATAAATTATCACATTGCTTTGCAGTATGCATATAACTTCTGAAATGAAATGATGCAAGTTAAGAGAGACGGAACACATGTGGTTTTGCCTGCAGCGCTACAATGGAAGCTTCTAAAACAAAGCAGTGCATGCAAATATTGTGGTTTGTTTGTTTTACAAAATGTTTGAAAGTTGTCGAAGCAAATTAAATATCACATATCATTATTCATGTTTGTTTACTTTCAATATTTACAAAAAATAAACGATATATTTTGTATCACAATGAGTTTGGTAATGAACCTCTGGTGTGGTAATGTACACACCAAGTGTTAGTTAGTTAGTTAGTTAGTTAGTTGGGTTATCATCATTGCACTCCAGACATGTCCATAGGTGCTCAGATCCTCCCCTCAGTATGAACCCCAACGTCCGATGGCTAAACACACCAAGTGTTTGGACATGTAGCCGCCACCCTCACCCAAGGCAAAAGACAATCCCAATCAACACAAAGAAACATCTCATATAAGGCATATTCATTCCCACCTTATGCTACCAGTGCCAGGCATGGACACTCATGACAATCCAGAAAAGAAAATTGGTAACCATCGACATGAGATGTCTGAGAAAGGCTGCCAGAGTGACCAAAAGAGATAGCATAAAACCAGTTTTAAATTACATACAAAGACTGCAAAAATAAATTTGGTTTGGTCATCTAGAGAGAATGTCTTGTGATGCCAGGCAGACACCATAAGAGTAGAGGGGCACAGAGCAAGAGGTAGACCAAAAACAACATGGAAAGATAATATCAGAGAAACTCTACAGCATGATGTGTCTATGGTCCTGATGACCAGAAGAAGAACCTTGTATCTTCCTTGACATCCAGAGCGGTACAGAAGGAAGTGAAGAAGAAGACAAATGAGTTTTGTGTTACTGGCACTTATTACGACTCTCTCTTGCCGGTTTCTCCCAAGTCTCTGTTTTGCTTGTTTTTCCCTAGACTCTCTTGCTAGTTTCTCCCTAGATTATCTCTTGCTAGTTTTTTCCTAGACTCTCTCTTGCTAGTTTCTCCCTAGACTCTCTCTAGCTTATAGACTTCTCCATATACTATCTCTTGCTGGTTTCTCCCTAGAGAATCTCTTGCTGCCAACGTCTCCCTATACTTTCTCTTGCTGGCAACGTCTCCCTAACTTTTTCTTGCTGGCAACGTCTTCCTAACTTTCTCTTGCTGGCAACGTCTTCCTATACTTTCTCTTGCTGGCAATGTCTCTCTATACTTTCTCTTGCTGTAAGCTTCTCCCTAGAGTGTCTCTTGCTGGTGAGCCATCTGCAATCCTTGAATATGTCTGTTCAGCTTAAGAGCAGGTCCAAGTTTGAGATCTAACCCTCGGAGGACATCAGTTCGCTTCAGAAGCAGCAGTGCCACACCATCTATTTCCTGGCAAAAACACAGAATCAATATAAAAATCTGTTACATTCAGCTGAGATTCTGATCAAGTGTAATGCTGTCATAAACTGTAACTGTTTTGGTACCAGAGGTCAATTAAATTAGTCATAATTTGGTGCATACATATATGCTCCTGTATGTATGTAAGTTGTACCCCACCAGGACATCACACAAAGGGATAAAAACCTGGTGACACAATGTGCCACCATGCGGATGAGGATCACCTGTGGAGAGGTCCCAGAAACCCTGTTCAGCTAATAGGCTATATTTATGGTCCAGCTATATTTAGGGCCCCCCGGCAAAAACCAGGGTGGGGCTCCAAATAACGAAAAATTGCATCCTACATGGAGATGACATGTTATTGTGTGATATGCTCCTTGATATTAAAAAAAATTACAATTTGTTAAATAAATAGACATAATTACATAGTAGGGAAACAACGATTTAAAGAAATATTTTATGAATATGCAGTTTGCTTGTGGAAACAGAAAGATGTGTCATGCACTATTCACAACCTCTAAAACAAATAAACTTACTTTTAATTTAGTTCTTTGTGTGTGTGGGGGGGGGGGGGGGTAGGAGGGGGATGGGGCTTGTAAATAATACTTCTTAGAATGGATAAGCAAGTTAGTTCCATCCCTTTCCATGACCTTGCAGAACCAGTCCCAGAATTTGTGTGGTTGTTGCGGTTTTTTCTATATAACTTTATGCTCAGTAGTTTGCCACTGCTGTCTGAATGGTCAGTTCTCAAGACCACTGTCTGGTGCCAAATCGCCTGCAGCTGGGATCAAACCTGGGCTCTCCTGTCAACTTAGGCCGTTAGCTGGACTGCCGCTGATCGCTTAGTGGGAGTTCTCTCCCTTGGCTGGAGTGCAAACACGGAGCGAAAATGTCACGAATCAAATGACATACTTACCTATCATCATACGGTTGCGTGTACGGTTGCGTAGTCATCATACGGTTACGGTTACCTATCATCATACGGTTGCGTGTATGGTTGCGTAGTCATTATACGGTCATCATAGGGTGTGGGTTAGGGTTAGGGATATGGATAGGGATAGGGTTAGGGTTTGGGTTAGGATTAGGGTTAGGGTTAGGGGTAGGGGTAGGGTTAGGGTTAGGGGTAGGGGTAGGGTTAGGGGTAGGGTTAGGTGTGATAATTTTGACGTAGGAGGTTCAAATACTGTCCGACGATCTGATGCTTGTGGGAGTTGCGCCACTGGAACTCTCCCAAATATGACAGCAATAGCACGCGGCTGGTGCCCAGTCGGTGGCGAATTGACCGTTTCAGTAGCATCCACAGTCCTTCGATTGTTTGGGTGTGTATGTGACTGTGCGCGATTATTCGGAATTCCTGCGTCAAAATTGTGACATCTAACCCTAACCCTAACCATAACCCTAACCCTAACCCTACACCTAACCACGCAAATTTATCAGTCAGTGAGTCATACAGATCTGCAGGAGTCACATCCGTGGCAACTAATATCACGTTTATATAAGGATATATTTACTTTAACAAAACCCCAGATTTCCCCGAAACGTCAAATAAACACCCAGATCTGGGGGACACACCCAAGCATTAGCAGCAATGTTGTCGACCTCACTGTCTTTTTTTATTCGTGACTTTTCTGCTCCATGTTTGCAATGCAACCAAGGGAGAGAACTCCCACTAAGCGATCGGCGGCTTTCCAGCTAACGGCCTGAGTTGACAGGAGAGCCCAAACCTGCTACCCCGGCATTACGAAGCCCATTGGCAATGCTTAAGCCACAGGTGGAGACTAGAATGGATAACATTGTAGAACAAATATTGAACACTTCAGCATTAGAACCTTGTTGCAGACTAGCTAAGAAATAACATCATCTCTAGGACAAACAGGAAGGGGGTGTGGAGGTGTTGAAGCAGACACAACCGGTTCACTAGAACCGAGGCTTATACTGCTTAGGACTTATCTACAACCAATGGCGTAGGGAGGGGAGTGCAGAAGTGCAGTGGGTGCAGGCAATCTCAGGTGTAATCACCGGGGGGAAAGGGGGGAGGGGAGAGCAAAATGGCAACAACAGCAAATATATATATATATATATATATATATATATATATATATATATATATATATATATATATATATATATATATATATATATATATATATATATATATATATATATATATATATATATATATATAGAGCTGAGAGGGAGGGGGGGGGGGGGGTTTGACAGGAAAATAATGGCACTGGGTAACACCCGACCTTGGTATGCAACTGTCTGCACCTCTTTGTGGTATTCCTAGAGACTTGTTAGGGACCTGGCCAACATAAATATAGAATGGATTGTTTCTTTCAAAGTTGAAGCAATTCTGCTCAAGAGGCAAGGTACCATAAAGTAAAGGACCCTTTTCCATGCATATTGGGTATAAAGGGCTAAACCTTAATATCATAGACCAGTCGACACTTGGTGCATGATGTGGTAAATGCCACGCTGACAGCTTTACTTTCCAGGACTTTACCTGGTACTCACACAAGGCTGGGTCGACTTTGAAAAAGGTGGCTTCCAGTCTGCAGGTGAGAGGTAAAAATCTAGCTGCTACACCACGGCAGCTTCCTATGAACACAGGTCTGCACACAAATTTGCCAGATCTGGGAAAACTGATGTGCAAGCAACTAAAGTTCTGAAACAAGACAAAAGTCCAGTAGGACCAAACAACCATACATTTCTGCCACAGTCTGCAGATGGTGACCATGGAGAAGAAGAAGAATGAAAAGGAAATAGTTCAGCAACATTAAACACTGCACAGGTTTAGAAAGAACAGAACCTGGAAAGCGTGGTTTAGAAAGAACAGTAATTGGAAAGCGTGTTTTTTTTAAAATATTACCTGTTCTCTGAAAACTTTAGCCTCTTCCCGAAAGCCAGCCGATGTGAGATAGTCGACGACATCATTCACTGACCACCCGGAAGCATCTGGATATCTTCCATCTCCAATATAGCAAGGGGTAGAGGCTACTTGTGGGTCTGCACTGCTGCAAAAGAGACACAGATATAGAACAGTCTGCCTCGGCCTTTCCTATTTTAAGCTCTGCAGAATACATTTAAGGGATCAGTGATATCGATTACAGAAAACAAAAACCACTACAAATTTATGAACACAATTCTTGTTGTGATACTAATGTTTATAAATTACAATAAGTCTTTCTTCTTCTTATTTTCATCTTCCAAGTTATCTAACTGTGTTGTGCTTGTTTACAGCAAAGCTGCAATATTTGCACTTGTCGGCTGACATATCTGACTTCGCTGAGCATTCTTTGAATGGGTTAACTTCCTAGATAGTTTTTGTGGGACTTTACCTAGCCTTATTTATGTGGTGTTATCTTTGTTTCCTTATCGAACAATATTGCCCCTGGAGAAGGGAAGACGGAGGTAGATCATTGGCATTCCCTGGCATCCAAGAAGGTTTCCATAAATGCAGAGCTGACACATGACCTTCTGGTCCTGGGCTCACCAAAGGAATCATTGTGTTCTGCACATGACTGCCAAATTCTTTACTTTTTACTTTTATTCAACACAAAGCGTCTATTATACCATGCTGAAAAAAAGATAAAAAGCAATATGTATGCATATGGTGTCCTGTTAGCCTACTTAAAATCTTCCTAGAAAAGGTTGAACAACAAACATAAGTAGTTGAAATCTATTTTTAAATAAAAGCTTGGCTTGTATTACTTTCTCATCTTAAGTTGTACTTTTGTTTTTTATCATACTGTGTCTGTTTTCTAATGATACAACAGCTGTTTCTTCTAAGTTTGTAAAAGGGGGCTGCGTGGTCTCAAGGCATGGTGTCCGCCTTCAGTGCTAGAGGTTCCGGGTTCAATCTGGGATTTTTTCACATAGACCTGGACTTCTAGTAATCCTCCCTGGTCTCTGGGTAGTGAGATCGGACTCCGTGTGCATTGCTACGCACATTAAAAATCCCCTGGCTGTTGGAAATCAAAAAGAGTAGCCTAACAGCACTGCCCGGGCAAACATTTGAACTTAAAATCTACCCAAAGTATTTTAAGATCCTCCCCAGTGCTATAGAGCCTGTGCACTGTGCTGAGTTTCTTCGGACTCAGACTTGAGTTAGAAGTAAAACAAAGCACTAATGGGTTGCTACCCGTGTGCCAGGATGTTGATCCGTTGTTCAGACCTCTAAGTTTATACATATTTTGGTAATCTATTTCAAGTGTCCTTTTCTTCATTGATTTTCTATTTAAAAACCAGTCACATAAAACCTCAGTTCACCTAGACAGATCAGAGGTTCATGTTTTACCTGATGAGGTAGAGGAGATCAGGGGTTCATGTTTTACCTGGTGAGGTAGGGGAGATCAGGGGTTCATGTTTTACCTGGTGAGGTAGATTAGATCAGGGGTTCATGTTTTACCTGGTGAGGTAGGGGAGATCAGGGGTTCATGTTTTACCTGGTGAGGTAGAGGAGATCAGGGGTTCATGTTTTACCTGGTGAGGTAGATTAGATCAGGGGCTCATGTTTTACCTGGTGAGGTAGGGGAGATCAGGGGTTCATGTTTTACCTGGTGAGGTAGGGGAGATCAGGGGTTCATGTTTCACCTGGTGAGGTAGGGGAGATCAGGGGTTCATGTTTTACCTGGTGAGGTAGGGGAGATCATAGGTTCATGTTTTACCTGGTGAGGTAGTTGGAATCAAGGGTTCATGTTTTACCTGGTGAGGTAGGTGAGATCAGGGGTTCATGTTTTACCTGGTGAGGTAGATTAGATCAGGGGTTCATGTTTTACCTGGTAAGGTAGGTGAGATCAGGGGGTTCATGTTTTACCTGGTGAGGTAGGGGAGATCAGGTGTTCATGTTTTACCTGGTGAGGTAGGGGAGATCAGGCGTTCATGCTTTACCTGTTAAGATTGGGAGATCAGGAGTTCATTTTTTACCTGGTGAGGTAGGGGAGATCAGGGGTTCATGTTTTACCTGGTGAGGTAGGGGAGATCATGGGTTCATGTTTTACCTGGTGAGGTAGAGGAGATCAGGGGTTCATGTTTTACCTGGTGAGGTAGAGGAGATCAGGGCTTCATGTTTTACCTGATGAGGTAGGGGAGATCAGGGGTTCTTGTTTTACCTGGAAAGGTAGGGGAGATCAGGGGTTCATGTTTTACCTGGTGAGGTAGGGGAGATCATAGGTTCATGTTTTACCTGGTGAGGTAGTTGGAATCAAGGGTTCATGTTTTACCTGGTGAGGTAGGTGAGATCAGGGGTTCATGTTTTACCTGGTGAGGTAGATTAGATCAGGGGTTCATGTTTTACCTGGTAAGGTAGGTGAGATCAGGGGGTTCATGTTTTACCTGGTGAGGTAGGGGAGATCAGGTGTTCATGTTTTACCTGGTGAGGTAGGGGAGATCAGGCGTTCATGCTTTACCTGTTAAGATTGGGAGATCAGGAGTTCATTTTTTACCTGGTGAGGTAGGGGAGATCAGGGGTTCATGTTTTACCTGGTGAGGTAGGGGAGATCATGGGTTCATGTTTTACCTGGTGAGGTAGAGGAGATCAGGGGTTCATGTTTTACCTGGTGAGGTAGAGGAGATCAGGGCTTCATGTTTTACCTGATGAGGTAGGGGAGATCAGGGGTTCTTGTTTTACCTGGAAAGGTAGGGGAGATCAGGGGTTCATGTTTTACCTGGTGAGGTAGGGGAGATCAGGAGTTCATGTTTTACCTGGTAAGGTAGGGGAGATCATGGGTTCATGTTTTACCTGTGAGGTATATGGGATCAAGGGTTCATGTTTTACCTGGTGAGGTAGGTGAGATCAGGGGTTCATGTTTTACCTGGTGAGGTAAGATTAGATCAGGGGTTCATATTTTACCTGGTAAGGTAGGTGAGATCAAGGGGTTCATGTTTTACCTGGTGAGGTAGGGGAGATCAGGGATTCGTGTTTTACCTGGTGAGGTAGGGGAGATCAGGGGTTATATTTTACCTGGTGAGGTAGGGGAGATCAAGAGTTCATGTTTTACCTGGTGAGGTAGGTGAGATCAGGGGTTCATGTTTTACCTGGTGAGGTAGGAGAGATCAGGGGTTCATGTTTTACCTGGTGAGGAAGGGGAGATCTTGGGTTCATGTTTTACCTGGTGTGGTAGTTGGGATCAAGGGTTCATGTTTTACCTGGTGAGGTAGGGGAGATCAGGGGTTCATGTTTTACCTGGTGAGGTAGGTAAGATTAACGATCCATGCTTACCTCACAGGATTAGTTGGAACAGGTGATTCTGCAGGTGTAGGTGGTGCAGATTCTGAAACAAACAAACAAACAAAAACCTCAACAACAACAACAATAATAACAACAACAACAACATTTCCTCACTGTGGGGAACAGATAACAGACTCATTGTCCCTTTGACAAGTATGTAAGAGTAAACTAATTAGGGGTTTCCTTAGAAGTTGAGGGTTTCTACCCGAGATCAAGGAACCAACAGCCTGCGTGCAAAAAGGCACATCTGTAAAACTGATGTGCAAATAAAACTTAAATTCTGAAACAAGATTAAGGTCCAGAGGTGGACTAACAACCATAGATGTTCCCCAAAGTTTACAGAAGAAGAAATATTGTCCATTGTCTATGTCACAACATAGGCACTATAAAACACTCACTATTTTTTTTTTTATCTTGTAACTGACAACATTTATTGATCAGTATGTTTTCATCTTGCAAATTACTAATTGTTGAGTTAGGAACTTTTGATATAATTTTTTATAAAGCATCTTCTGACTTCCTTTATTCATTATCTTCTGACTGATTTTCTGACTGTTCATCAATTGTTCAAACTTGTTACCTGTTTATAAGGACTTCAATTTACTTGAATATTGCATACGGTAGACCATCAGTCAAGTCCTAAATAATGCAATGGGATGAGAGAAAAGATGGGTGTTTGTATGAGATGGCAACTCCATTGCACCAGCGAAGAAAATGAAATACTTTGGGTAGATTTTAAACTCAAAATTGTACCCGGGTTGTACTCTTTATTCGATTTCCAACTGCCAAGGGAAAAAAAACACGCCAAGGGATTTTGTACGTGTACAACAATACACACGGGCGTCTGGTCTTACTACCCAGAGACCAGGGGAAATTACTAGGAGTCTACGTTATAAAATACCAGCCTTCACCAGGGTTTGAAACTATGACTTCAAGCACTGACAGCGGATGCCATACTTCAAGACCACTCTGCCCCCACCAATTAGCGTGACACATGACAATGATAAGTAACTGCACAAATAAACAGTCTGTTTATAATAAAAACTACAATTAACAACAACAACAACAACAACAGTCAACTAACCATGAGAGACTGTTTGATGGCTTGTTTGCCTGGACATAAACACAGTTCGCTGCAGTGAGAGGTTCTCTAGCCGGCACTGGGAGCATTCCCATGTTCCTTCAGATAAGATAATTACCATATCAGAAATAGGATTATAGTAACTAAGGATAGTTTTAACAAGTAAACATGAATTTATTTGTTGGTGAATTCTGGGTAACACTGGTAAGAATGCTAAAATGTAATTATAAACAGACGTGTGTTATCAAAACAGAAATGTGTCAAGTATGTTACATAGTCTAATTTAGGAATTTTGCTTGGGCATTGATCCTCTTGTTTTCTTTTTGCAATCACAAGCTTGACAGAAATATACAGTTGAGTTATTATGATTAAAAAAAATACAATTGCGTTATTATGATAACGTGTTGAGCCTATGGCAGCATATAGGGCAGAGGTCATAGCTCTCCATGTTTGGTGGTTCGTTATGACCTGTTTTAGGTCTTGGATGTTCACAAGGCCTATAGTTAAGCCCTCTGTAATAATGGTTCTACATATGTCTCTTTTGGTGTTCCCAGTTTCTTCCTAGTTTTCTTTTCCCTTCCGGTGTCAACATGTCAAAGTAGTGACTCTTATTATAATGATAATGATGGTTATGATAATGGTGGTCGTGAAGATGATGATGATGATGATAATGATGATGATGATGATAATGATGATGATGATTACCTGAAGGTTTCTTGGTAACTGATGGATTATGACAGGCCATATGATAACCTTTATCGCAGCCATCACAAAACAGCATCTGATCCTGTCAACGAAAACAACAATGACTGTCAACAGAATTCTGCTGCTACTTGTTTAAAGAAACTAATTATACACTGCAGAAAATAATTAGATGCTCAGTCTTCCTCTTTTACATGTGTGTCTTGTGTGTGTGTGTGTGTGTGCATGTGCTGGTGCTGCATGCGTGCGTGTGTGTGTGTTCATGTGTACACACACACACACACACACCTAGGTTGTGAACACAGTATCCAGTAAATTAAAGGTGTTTTCCTTGTAGATTTCGCCGTTAAAGTTTCCTTCCCAGTGACTCAAAGAGCCACTGATCAGATGCTAACCCCCTTGAGAGTAAATCCTACAAATCCTGTTCAACTGTATCAAACAGTTACACTAGAGTGCAATATGAAACAATTTGCTGGCCAATACGTGTGGCTTGTTATAATGAACATGTGATCAAAAGAAAAATTGTCTACTAAGTGTATTCTTCACATACAGGAAACATCTTATCCACATATGAATCTTATCTGCATACAACCATATATTATCTCATTTACATAAATTCACACATTTTCTCATCTACATACACTCACATATTATCTCATCTACATACATTCACACATTATCTTATCTACATACATTAATACATTATCTCATCCACATACATCTACACATTATCTCATTTATATACATCCATACATTATCTCATCTGCATACATTCACACATTATCTTATCTACATACATTCACACATCACCTCATCTACATACATTAATACATTATCTCATCCACATACATCTACACATTATCTCATTTATATACATCCATACATTATCTCATCTGCATACATTCACACATTATCACATTTACATTCATTATCTCATCTGCATACATACACACATTATCACATCTATATACATTATCTCATCTACACACATCTACACATTATCTCATCTATATACATTCACACATCATCTCATCTACACACATCTACACATTATCTCCTCTATATACATCCACACATCATCTCATCTACACACATCTACACATTATCTCATCTATATACATCCACACATCATCTCATCTACACACATCCTCAAATCATTTCATCCACATGGTTTGTTATTATCTCAATCTGATAACAATCATATCAGTCTATCTACATGCAATAATAATTGTAATACCCACACACAACTTTCACAAATCATCCCATCCAGAATTAATGCACAAATTCTCACAGGGTCTCCAGCATCTTGACACACACAGCATGTCTTGCAGTCCATACACTGCCATGGTCCTCTATAGGCCCGGCTGGCCAACAGGTTTGAGTAATTCATGCACGACGGATGAGCTGTGAGTCAGAAGAGAGTAGCATTTCTTTAATTCCCATTTTTCAGAAAATCATAATGCATTAAACTTTAGATTATCAAAATCAGTGTAAGTTAATTAATTAAACTATAAAGTAGTCTTGTCACAAACACCATTGTCTGTGATTTGTTAGCAACCTTGAAGTACAATATAACATTCAATTAATCCTCAGTCAGTCAATAAGCTTGTCCTATACAGAACGTCACTCTCTTCTTGGCATGCCTGAAAGTATCTCTATAAACAATTCTCCAGCCCTTTGTGCTTTCATAGACAATGCATCCTCAGTGTCCTATATCTACCTTCACAGAGGTCGGCCACTGTTTCATTTTCCCGAAACTGTTTCGTCCATCACCGTTCTCTCCAGACGACCATGACCCTTGAAATGTCCAAAACAGCTCAGCTTTTGACAGAGGATGCTGTTTATAAGCTAGTTCTCCATGATTTTCATTTAAAGAAGGCTGTCAAAGTTGTTCTTCTTTTTGGTCCACGGTATCCTTAGAAATTTTCTGTAGCATTTCAGTTCAGAAGCTCAGATTTTCATCTTTAAAGACTGAGTGAGAGTCCATGACTCGCATTCATAGGTTGCCATGGCGAAGACACATGATCTCAAAATGTTTACTTCAACTTGCTTGCAGGTGCTGTGCCCTGGGTTCTTCATGCTGTTTGCATGCTTGCAGGTGCTGTGCCCTGGGTTCTTCATGCTGTTTGCATGCTTGCAGGTGCTGTGCCCTGGGTTCTTCATGCTGCTTGCATGCTTGCAGGTGCTGTGCCCTGGGTTTCTTTATGCTGTTTGCATGCTTGCAGGTGCTGTGCCCTGGGTTCTTCATGCTGTTTGCATGCTTGCAGGTGCTGTGCCCTGGGTTCTTCATGCTGTTTGCATGCTTGCAGGTGCTGTGCCCTGGGTTCTTCATGCTGTTTGCATGCTTGCAGGTGCTGTGCCCTGGGTTCTTCATGCTGTTTGCATGCTTGCAAGTGGAATAGTGATTAGTGAATAGTGAATAGTGATTAGTGATTAGTGATTAGTGAATCGTGATTAGTGATTAGTAATTAGACAGGATTATCATCACAGCACTCCGGACAGATCCATAGGTGCTCCGATCTCCTCCTCAAAAGCTCCACAAGTGTAAAATGACTGATGATGCCTGTTCTATGTTGGTTAATGAAACGTCTTGTCCTCTTAGTGAAATGTTCACTTCTTGCAGCTCCAGGCTGTACCCCCATGTCCATCAGTCTAGACAGGGATATGGAGTCATGTCAGGGATATGGAGTCATGTCCCTTGGTGTGCTCATCGGTACAGTAAGTGCAGCGCATGGCATTGATAACATCCCTTCTGTCCAGTACTGGACCAGCCATAGCAACCGCAGTGTCAGGAAGACAGTCTGCACGCTCGTTCCCTTGAACACCCGCATAACCTGGCACAAAGATTAATGTTAGGGCAGATATTCGTGAAGTGCTTAGTGTTTCAATCCATTCTTGCCTGATAAATTCAGCTTGGATTTTTTAAAGCATATTCATAAAGTCACTAAGAATGCATATATGTGTAACTTTTGAGTACTAAGCTATGCTAAAGCCCTTGTTTCAGCCATAGTTTCCATTGTATGGCTTTATACCATCTCCTTGATGGTTTTCCCCCTTGAGCTTACTGTTACTGCCCATGCCCTTTGCTTGCACCTAATTACTGACCCATCTGTGTAAACTACAGCATCACCTTCATCTGTGTTTTCGTCAATCAGTGTTCTGACATTTAATTCCAAAATTATGTCAGTAAGGCGACAAACATGTTCGATGGCATCCTCAGCGTGACCCATTCAGGATTTGCTTGAATAATTTCTCATAAAGTCGGTGTCAATAGTCTGATTTCACTTTGAGGATTGCAATAGAACTGGATAGCTTGATTCTGTTTTCAACTGTGGGGAAAATCAAGAGGTATCTCATGGATTTACATGACAGTGAATGGCACCCGTTAACAATTCTTACCCCACGCATTGTTTATTGGTAGTTTCACATCTGGCGTGCATTTCTGAACTTTTTGTGCATTATCCAAATGAAACATTTAACCAAAGCTTTCTTCTAGGAAATATAAGGTGCCAGTAATCACCACAAAGCGTCTTTTGAAAAAAGTGCTAGCCTTCACCACTCAGTATCTATTATAGTACGTATAAACAATGATACCTAACAAAGGTGCCGGTCCTACGTTATGTTACGTACTGCCAGGAAAAAGCCCTGCATTGACCTCATTGACCTCCACTGCTGCCTCAACTCTCCCAGTGCCAAACAACTTGAATGCTGTTTTGGTGTAGTGGTTAGACGCTGGCCTGCAGATGTGAAGGTTGTGGGTTCAAACCCTAATAGTGCTGGACTTTTTCGAAAAATGACATTGGCTCCCAGGTGGAGCCAGCCTTAAGTGGGTACAAGGTAATATTCTATGAAGTAAAGGCTGTCAGGGGGATGTTGACTACATCACTAACCCAATGCAAATTAGTTCTTACAATACAGGTCCAGCACTATACAGCCAATATGTCCGAAGGCATGGACAAAGGTCCAGCACTATACAGCCAATATGTCCGAAGGCATGGACAAAGGTCCAGCACTATACAGCCAATATGTCCGAAGGCACGGACAAAGGTCCAGCACTATACAGCCAATATGTCCGAAGGCACGGACAAAGGTCCAGCACTATACAGCCAATATGTCCGAAGGCACGGACAAAGGTCCAGCACTATACAGCCAATATGTCCGAAGGCACGGACAAAGGTCCAGCACTATACAGCCAATATGTCCGAAGGCACGGACAAAGGTCTTTTCTTTACTTACCACCAACTTTTTTTTTTTCTTGGGATGTAAGGAGTTAAAGAAACAAAGATCGGCTCTCGATATCACCGTCGAAACTAAAGCAATGCTGTCTGCTGATAAATCAGTAGCTGGGATCGAACCCACCAGCCCAGCATTATGAAGCACGATTGCAAAGCCTAAGCCATAGATACTGACTTCTTTCTAATAGCACTGTTTTTTTTTTGGGACACAAAAGTAGTTAGTTTCAATCAAGAGCAACATCGAAGTCACAATTTTCTGGTTTTGAATGAGTCATCCCTGTGTCGGTTCTGGGGCTTCATGGTGGGCAAAACAAAAATAGACCCACTGCTTCCCCAACAAGCATGTCGTAACAGTTGACTAATTGGCGAGTGCAAGGAACCAATAGTCTGCTTAAAAATAAATCAGATGTGTAAAACAGATGTGCACCCAACATTTAGGTTCTGGAGCAAGACTAAAGTCCAGAGGTGGATGAACAACCAGAACTTTCTACCAGAGTTTACAACCAGTGAATGTGGAGAAGAAGACAGAGAAAAAGTTTGGTCATACCTTTGACTGTGCAGTCTTTGCACTGTAGTAAAGTTTCTGGCACTCCTCTGGGGTTGCTCAGTGAAGTCAGCTTACAAAAATCACACGCAGGTTCTGCAGCGGCAGATGATCCCTTTCTAGTCTCCATCTTCTTCGGCAGCTTCTGCTCCGATCCATCCCCAGTCTGTTCTGGGTTATCACTGGTCAGGATTCTCTTTAGCTGATGAGAGATCAACGAGCAGAATGTTAATTTTAACCTAATCGTGCCCTCATGGTGAAGTGGGTGGCAATCACTTTTTCTGTACTAAGTAACTCAGCCTAGGTTAGGGTCATTCCAAAGATAATATGATGCTCCTGATGTATTCTATCTAGATGGAGTGGTGGTATAAAGAACAGCCTAACAGAAATGAACATCCAATCTTAATAGTGCCCTTGACAGAGCTCATCAACGAACGTTACATCTACACCCCACACTCTACGGCGGTACAAGGTGGAAGACAAGAAGAAGAAGAAAAAGAAACGTTACTGTTAAATGAACACCGACTAACAATGAACCTACCCCTCCCCATATTATAAGACATGGGAAATACCTAGGAATTCGCTACCAACTCTCGCAGCTGACAAGGTGAGGTGAAAAAGTTGAAAAGAACCCTTGAGTTCTGCGTACACATCCGTTTTACAGATCAAGCTTATTCGTAGGCAGATTGTTGGTTTCTTGCCTCTCAAGCAGATGTACTCCGACATCGAAAGCCCCTAACTAATCGACTCTTACTACATACATGCTTGGAAGGTAGCAGTGGGTCTAATCTTGTCCCCCCCCCCCCCACCCGCCCCCTCCACACACACTCACACACACACATACAAACACATACACACCCACACATACAGGGAACCCACAGGGAGAAACGCCGCAGCTTCAGCTACGACACCAGGGATGGGGTGTCCCCCCGACTAGTGACGGCAAAAAGGCGCCTTATACGATGTCAACTAAATTAAAAGCAGTATTCGTCGCCTGTGTTCACAATTTTCTAACTTGTTTGGGTTATTCGTTGATTGGCTGTCTAGTCGCAACATTCATTATGTCGTTGGTGATTGTGGTATCACTGGGTACTGGCGGTTTGGACTTCACAGCAACTGGTCATCCCATAGTTGCACCGTCTTTGTGAAAACATTGACACAGACTGCAACCCTAGCAAAACCAATAGCATACACACGCATAAAATGCATAAGGCAACCGTCAGTGTGTCCCACAAAGCGTTCTGTATTAGAAATGCAGTTCGTCATCAACAGAAGCAGCAGTTGCAGCAAAATAGTCATCAGCATCATCATCATCATCAACCACTTCTGCCGTTAAGCGATGTAGGGAGGAATAATTTGCGATCCAGTGCACGTTGGCTGCCACTGGCTATTGTCATGTCATGTCTTTAATGTTGTCGATCCATTTTTTCCGTGGCCGTCCTCTTGCTCTTGTAGCTGATCTTCTGAGATGTAGTGCTTGCGATGGTATTTGATTTTGCTGCATTCTAACGAGATGGCCAAACCACTTGATCTGTTGTTTCTCGATGAATCTAGTACAAGGTGTTGTTCCCACAATTTGCCTGAGAGTTTCATTATTCACTCGATCTCGGATGGTTAGGTTGGCTGCTTTTCTTAGGCATCTCGTATCTCAGATTGTGATTTTGCGTATATGGGCTTTAGATTGTGTCCATGTTTGGCACTGGAATCTTAATGTTGGAATGAATTTGCTATTAATAATCTGTCTCTTTGTACTCATAGTTATGCTTGGATGTCTTAGTAATGGTGACAATTGGTATATAAGTGCACTTGCAGAATAGCAGCTGCACTAAATTCTAAAAATTAAGTTCTAAATGTTTGCTGGGCACTGTTTTGTGAGGAGCGGCTGGCCGAGCAGTTACAGCGTCAGGCTCTCATGCGTGAGTCCCGAGTTCGACTCCCGCTAAGATGACGGAGTGTATCTGTCGGGGGCAAAATAAACATCCGAACATTCACAGTCCGCGGTGACAGCACTCGTCATGAGGGGCCTAAATCCTCAGGCTGACGGCCTCTTGTCTACACCGCGATGGAAAGCCTAAATAGCAGTAGTATAGTGCAAGTTTTGAACTTTAGCCAGAAGATTTACAGCTGGGTGAATTGTCCGGTCGCCATGAAGCCAGAGGAAAACAAATCGCCCCCCCCCCCTCCCCCAAACGGAAGACAACTGAAAAGCGATTCAGCCGGAGTTTGGTCCAAGTCGGTTGCTTATGCTCACTGTGTTTGGGGAAGTTATCAGATAGAGGAAACTCGAAAACAAGCATTGATCGTTTCAGCTGAACTGGGAATATTTCACTGCCAAAATCGATCAAAGAATGACTGTCTCTAATGTGTCATTTATCATATCCCTCGATCTATCGATCTGCATCTGGGTCTGTATGTCTATTTAGCTCTGTTACTCTCAATTCCCGCCACTCCCAAATCGATTTTACTTATGTATCTTTATATCGATTTCGCTCTGTTCTTCTCCCTCTCTCCTCGCCTGCATTTTCTATCTGCGTCACCGTCCATCTACTTATTTATATGTATGTCTATTTGTCTTTGTAATTATGTCTTTCTCTCTCCACCTCTCTTTCTCTCTCCATCTCTCTTTTTCTTTCCATCTCTTTTTCTTTCTTCTTCTTGCCCTATGGATCTACTTACGTGTTCTTATTTCTATTTTGCTCTGTTATTCTCACTTTACCTCCACATTTGTAATTCATTAAAGTTTGCACTATTGTGTGTGTGTGTGGGAGAAAAAAAAAGGGGCGGGGGTATAGAGGGGGCGAAATTCACAATTTGTTTAAATTGTCACTAACTTTTGGCCCCTATAATTAAAGACATGTAATCAGATGCAAAGGCCTCTTAAAAACAACACTACATAGCTCCGTAGAGAGAAAGAGGCCGACCAAGAGAGACCTGGATGCAGAACTTGATTGGACAGGCATTAGGTCTGCAACCATCAAGTCCATCTCATCTGGACGCCACAGGTGGAGAGAGTTGATTGGACAGTCAACAGCAGCTGGTGACCCGACGACACACGGTGGTACTGGATGATGATGATGACGATGAGAAACAATAGAGGGAGAATGGTAGTTAAAAGATAGACACTCACAAATTTTGTACACAAAACAGCTGACTAAGAGTAGACCACGAGGCAGATCAAGAAGACGGTGGAAAGATAATATACAGGCAGATCTAGAAAGACCTGGTGTCAACAACTGGAAAAGTTTAACAAAGATATGGTTTTTTTTTTTAAAGTAATAAACTAAAGCCACTGTTTTGGAGGTACCGTATTAGTGAGATTATCTAAGTATTCACAGTACAATTTCTGTCTTCGTCAGATCCACATAGACACACACACTAACACATAAACACGCACACTCACACACAAACGACGTAAATAAATAAAGCAATATTTGAAACAATATCACAAATTAAATAATTGTCTGAAATAAATAATGGCACGATGTATGAAATAACAAAAATACACTCTGAGATCTCGATGAACATTTTATATTCACATTATAACCTGAACATTGAGCAAGATACTTTTGTGAACTTTACTACTACATGTAGGCTTTACTGGCTTCGATGCAATACCATAGGGCAGTGATTCCAAAACTGTGCACCGCAGCGCCCCGGGAAGCCGCGACCTCTTCCCAGGGGCGCCGTGAAATATTCAAAGATACAAGAGTTTAATTTTCTGTATCTCTTACCTACGAATAGTCATGCTTTTACTTAGGTTAGGGCGGCGTGGGATATTCAAAGATACAAGAGTTTTATTTTTTGTATCTCTTACATACGAATAGTCATGCTTTTACTTAGGTTAGGGCGGCGTGGGATATTCAAAGAAACAAGAGTTTTATTTTTTGTATCTCTTACATACGAATAGTCATGCTTTTACTTGGGTTAGGGCGGCGTGGGAAAATTTAAATTGAAAAAAAAGGTGCCGCGACTAAGAACAGTTTGGGAAACACTGCTATAGGGGGTAACCCCGTGGCCAAGTGGTCAAGCCGTTTGCCTCGCGCTCTGAAGGTTGTGGGGTTTTTTTTCTCACGGCGGCGCAGTTCCGTTCACTGGGGCAATTTTTACGGCGATCCCTGGGGGGATGTCGCTGGAGCTACGGATGTCGTGCTCTGTGCGACGCTCTCGGCAGGCTGCTTGTTGTTCAGCAGAGAGAAACGAGCCTATATGGGATAAAACGATGCAATGAAGTCGATCCTTTCCCCTTTACAAATGCTATGCCATAGTTTTCTCACGGTCGACGCTCATAACACTACCGAAATCAAGGCAAACTGGTCTGCTACCCAGTCGCCTGCAACTAAATGGACATGGTATAGCGGATATTAACCTGCGTTCATAACCCCTACGCCCCAGACAGTGGATGTGGAAAGCGATTTGGTTTTTTGTTTCCAAAGGTATGAGCATCGACAACGTTAAGACAGAGCGCCGTTTTTAACATAATGACACACTTTTAGTTGGTGGGCAAGGGTAGTTGTGCAGCTTCGTTATTACATTTGTTGTTTTTAAGGAGGGAGCCGACAAGAGGTCTAAACCTTGTTTAAATTGTAATAATAATAATAATTATAATAATGTCTAGAGTGGCGAAAATGGAGTTGGTGTTTTAAACAATTCGTGTTAACCGGAAACTACAAATAATAAGACACCCCTGCTGAGATGTACATTTTGTTCATGTTAACTGATTGTTCTTCTTAAGCAGACTCACGTTAACGAGGTTTTGCTGTTACAATATTTCTCAAATAATACGAAATCCATAAACATCATTATCATCAATATACACTTCTGTCGTTAAGCGGCGTAGGTAGGAACAATGTGCCATCCACTGACTGATGGGCAGCAATGACTACTGTATTCCGTGTCGATGTTGAACCCTTTAACGTCATCAGTCCATATTAGGAGGACCTCTTGCTCTAACATCAGACCTCATGTGTAGCGCCTGTGTTAATGGTTGTTCTGGCTGTGTTTTTACTAGATGACCTAACCATTTGGTCTTCTGTTTTTCAATGAATTTACTGATAATATAATTTCTAACCTTTTCTCAGATGGTTAAGCTAGCGGCTTTTCTCATGCATCTGATTTCACAGGTGGTAATGTTACGTATGTCAGACTTTGATAATGTCCAAGTCTGGCACTGGTAGCACAGCATTGGTACGAACAGGCTGTTTATAATCTGTTTCCTGACCCTCATACTTATGTTTGGATGTCTTTTAAACAGTGTCAGTTGGTATATTTCCCGAAAATATACTTTCTAGATATTTAAATGCTTCACATGGCTTCAGACAAGTACCATTCAGCCGTATACGTAGCGGACTAGCAATTCTACTGACCTACATTACTTCAGTTTAAGCCGTGTTAACTTTATTATCTATCTACTGCATGTTGAAATGTAGAAACTATTGGTTTAACAGATCATTCTTCACATGGTAAAGGTAAGTGGGACTGGAAACCCTCCTCGGGGGGGGGGGGGGGGGGGGGTCAAGATACCTGAGCACCCAAGCCATAGTGCCCTTGGTTCAGACAGCAATGGCAAACTGCCGACAGTTTGAATTGTTTTGTGACGGCCTGCTGAAGAAGACATAAAACTACCCCAGGGAGGCTCCGGTGCGTTTAGGCTTAGACCCTTTTCCCACTCCCAGAAACCAAATTGTAAAGAAGCTATGGCGTGCAGACATTTTTTTTATAAAAAGTATTTGTTCATTCATTTTCAATATATTATATTTATGTTAGTCATTAGGAATAATAATAATAATATGCTGTGTAGTTTCGTCGCCCAGCTTCTGAGTTGAGTGCATGGCGTGACACTGTGAGCTGCGTTTGTTTTTCGTTGGCACAGGAGCGGAGCATCTGTGGGGTGACCCGTTTGCTATGAAGCTGAAACTAGGATTACCAGAATAATATGCTAATAATAATAATAATTATTATTATTATTACTGCGCACATAAATAAGGCTGAATATTAAACCCCATGTGGACCTGACTATAAGGGGACTGACAAACTAGCACCCCACCCCCCCCCCCCTTTTTCCCCCGTTTATTACTTCAGAGTAACAACTACTTGAGATAGGAGAAAAATCAAACTAAAATACCAACTGCCTGGTAGATAAATAAATGTTAAGGGGACAGCACATCTGAAAACATGAATACTCGAAACACAACACAAACGCAAAGAAAAGAAAAAAATAAGGCATTGGGTTGTGTAAACAGTGCTGCAAAGATGCAGAAGCTACGTGCGGGTTGTACTATTTTTAGGAATACCACGGCCCGGATTTCGTTGGTTCACAAGCGAGTCGACTTAACTTGTGATTATATAGCTTGAAAATACCAATAAATGGTTGTGTTAAATGGAAATGTGTGATAGGGAACTTCAAGCAACTCGGTCACATTGGCATACAGGGCAGAGGCAGGAAAACGTAGGTTAACTTTCGCGATAATGTTATTTCCGTTGTATGATAGAAAATGGGTCAGCACGTTTTAGTTGTTTCGGCGCAATAATAACATTGAGGTCGGCTCTGTGGCTAAGTCGATGCGAATGCCGGGATGCTGGGTTCGATCCCAGCTGCGGGCCAGGCGCCTTGAGTTGGTTTCGACAGTGGTATCAAGAAAGCCGACCGTACAGAAAGCAACGGCAAACTACTGGACGTAAATTTGCCTAAAAAAAACGACAAAACAGCCAGGGGCTGTTGTGGTTGGTTCTGCAACGTCCTGTAAAGGATACGCAACTAATCAAAACTTTGAGAGAGAGACTTGCTTTCAGCAAATCATGCACACAAGGAAGCTGAATTGTTGTAGATCACGAGGCAGACCAAGAAGACAATGGAGAAATAATATCCACACAGACCTACAAACACTTGGTGTCACCAACTGGGAAGTGAAGGCCAACCAGAGAGATACATTGAGGCGGGTGATATCTGCAGCACTGAATCACAAGGGCTCGGATTGCTGAAGAAGATGAAGAATTGAAAAAAAAAAAGAAATTACAATTTTCAGCTTCTGCTGCTGATCAGATGTTAGAAAATTATGTATATATACACGTCTCTAATACGTTGTTTCTGACAGACACAGCACTGCAATTATATCCATTTGATTTCTCTTGTTTTCATTACTGACATGGATGAGAAAGTCTTGTCACACACATATGAAGTCGAATAGCCAACCAACACTCTAAAGCCTGATAGTTCATAGATGGATATTCTTTTTCAAAAAGAAAAAAAAAAACCTATCATAAAGCCGCTACTACAGATGAAGTAGAAATGTTTGGCGGGCGCCCATGGCCATCTACGGATTTACTGCTTGAAGAACACTGGTCTAGTGCGTTCTACTACATTTAAAACTTTCTTTTACTTCTTTGAGTGCACATATTAAGCACTTAAACCAGGCTTGGGTCCTTTGACCACCCTCCCCCCCCCCCCCCCCAGGAGATGAGACAGTAAGATATGCATTATAACGACAGGAAATGAGACAGAAAGATATGGGTTATAACGACATGAGATAAGGCAGCAAGATATGCATTCTAATGACAGGAGATAAGACAGCAAGATGTTGATTATAACGACAGGCGACGAGACAGCAAGATATGGCTTATAACGACAGGAGATAAGACAGCAAGATATGGCTTATAACGACAGGAGATTAGACAGCAAGATATGGATTATAACGACAGGAGATAAGACAGCAGGATATGGCTTATAACGATAGGAGATGAGACAGCAAGATTTGGATTACAACGACAGGTATAAGACAGCAAAATATGGATTATAAAGACCATATAACAAGATAAAGATTATATAGACAGTAGATGAAACAGCAGGGTGAGGATTATAAAGAATGGAGATCGAGACAGTCAGATAAAAAGAAAAGAACAAGAGACGAGATAGCAGTGTGGACATGACAGAGAGGGGGACATGAACTTGACAACACAAATCTAACCTTGGACTGAGTGGTCACCCCAGCAGCCGTTGTAGTTACCGCTGACGTCACGACGGGTAGTGACCCTGCGGTCTGCGGTGGTAGAACCGTGGGTCTGTGCTTCGGTGGTCGACCACGCCTGGCAGGCTGTGGCGTATTGGAGGATGTTGCTGGAGCTGCGGCTGATGTAGAACGTTGGTCTGCTGGAACAGCTGGCTTGCCGTCACTGCCACTATTACTTTCCTCATTGGCGCTGGGAGAATCCACAGACCGACTTTCTGACTTCTTGTTACTCTTCAAAGGCTTGATACTGTCGCGAATCTCCTCCATCTGGGCAGACGTGATGACGTAGTTGCAGCTCATGAGCCTCTTCAGTCGCCCAGCGTCAATCTCCCGCTTGAGAACAACGGTCAGAGGACTTCTGAGGTTGTCAAATCCCTCGCAGTTCTCCTTCAACCATGAATTGATACTTTCTAACGAAATGCCAATGTCTGAAGCATGTTCACGCGCTCTGTTCTCAACAGTAGCTGTGTCAACTTCTTGTTTCCCACCATGTACTTCTTTTTCATGTTTCTCTTTTATAAACATTCGCGACAGTTCCAGAATCGCTTCCAAAATTTTAGTTGAAATTGTTGTGGAGTTGAGCACTGCACAACCCAGCATGCTTTTTCTCCATTTCGCGGCATTTCGGTAGCTAGTACTTCCCTTATAGTCCACTTTGATCACAATTTCCGCATCAACTAATTTCTCCAACTTAGTCTCGGTGTCTACAGCGCTAAGTCCATGCCGCCGTCTTACAACATGACAGATTCGCTGCAAGTCGGGTCGAGCTTTGCGTCGCCTTAAATGATCAATTGTTTCTAAAATCCACTCCGTGTGTTTAGAATTGGAAGCCATACTGTTCCTTCGTTAAACATTAGCTTGGCAACAAATTAACATCAGGCGAACGACGTTGGTTTAATTCCCACGTAAACAAGACACAAAACTTCCTTGATTGCTTTCGTTAAGAAAAGAACCTAGAACACAAGTAGCGGTTTAGCTTTAACGCATGCGTACCAGCGCTCAATGATGCATTTTGGGATATAGAACAAGTTGCGGGCTAGTAGAAAGTGTGGCAGGCGCGCCGCGCGCCCGTTGTGCGTGCCTGTGTAGCACGGGCCCGTGCAGGCGCGTGTACACACACACACACACACATACACACACACACACAGGGTCTAGTCTTGTGTGATATTGCAACTCAATTCTTGCGAAATGCAAATCCGTTTGAAATGTTGTTTTGAATGCAAGGAGCTGGAGGTCTGAGTGGGCGTATGAATCTGTTTCTTTCGTGGAAACAAGAGAATCACACAAAGTAAAGACAATTTTTGAAACGAAAACTGCATTCCAAGCGCCCGTAGACCGATATACGACCACTACTAGTGTGAAACGAAGGGGGCGTGTGTGTTTGCTAACGGAGTTACTGGATGTCAAGATAACCAAATTATTTGACTGCATTAAGATCCGTCTGTTATTTATTTATCTCCTACCCTTCTGCTTCTGGCATGCACTATACGCGGGTTCATCAATTTCTTTATGTTGTCCTCCCACCATAAACGCCGGAAACTGGGGCTTCAGGCAACTTTAACCCCCCAACCCCAGTATTATTTTAGGAGCAGATGTCCCAATACCTTTCCACCTCACTACATCTAAACCTTCTCGTTCTAAGCACTTGTTTATACATTAAATGGTTTTTTTTTTCAAACATGTTTATTTTTATTTACAATCCATAATTTAGCCTAATAATAACAACAATAATATTAAGGCTTTAACCTCTGAAAGCGCCCCTGCCCATACACACACACATACACACACACACAGAGCACACACACAGAGCACACACACACACACACACACACACACACACACACACAGAGCACACAGACACACAAACATTTGGGAGCAGATACCCCACAATATTTAAACGTTCTCTTTTCAAGTATTTGTATTTACATTAAATATTATATGATAGGTGAAATTGTTCAAATTGAACACAAGAATACCTTAGGGTTCAGCCAACAGTTCTTTCGCAACTATGTTTTCAATAGTATTTAGGCATACTGTCTTTCCCGTCATCTAAAACCATGCTGTTATTTTGGTATTGTGACAAACCTGTCCACAAGCAAAATCCCCTGCATGACCTGCAAAAGTCTTCATACATTAAGTGACTTGACTTGGCACTCGACTTCCAAGTATTCTTGGTGACTTCAGGCTTGACTTGCGACTTGGTGGCAGTGACTTGGACTCGACTTGAAGGGTGATGATTTAGTTTAACATACTATACTGAGATTTAAAAAAAATTAGTCTGGACGGTGGGCCCAAAGACAGATCCCAGATACACCGTTCAACCTCCTAACAACCCCTAACGGCCCACAGCCTCCTCGAGGAGGACTCGAACGGCCATACAAGCAAGTCCTGTGCGGGTAAGGACGTGAGCGAAGATTTGGGAACCACTCCTGTAGGGAAATTCCCGTTATTGTTAATCTCCTTGGCCAAAGAGCTACTTCCGTTTGTAAAGAAGATGGCTACTTCCAGGTATCGCAACTTTCTCCGACTGCTAGAGCAGTGGCCTGTTGATAAATCTAGAGAGAAACGTGACTTGGGAGCCTTCGTTAGAAGACGCGTCGTTGAAGGATTCTCCCACGGCGAGGCGACACAAATCAATGCTGCTGAATGTGATAAAGTCTATGAGAGCTTGCATCGGATCAACACCGATTTTCACCTCCGAACTTGGAGAAGGTCGAAAGAGACCAACGCCTCGGGGGCGACTGCGGAAGCTCTACGTACTACACTTTCTGACGCAGGTCTCAAGGAGTTGTCGGGGCAGTATGTCGAAGGTCCATTCAGCAGGCTCAAAGAACAGATCTCAAAGAGGGAAACATAATATTACAACATCGACACAAGAGCAACATTCACTTTTGTTCTAAGAAATCAGACACGAACTGGTAAACAGGTGCAACAACATGTACTATTAATAACAGTAATTAAATACTGTAATTGTTTCTGACGTTGTAGTTGATGAATGACGCTTGACTGATCTGGTACAGAGCCGAGTCAGCCATACAATTTACTTGTAGTGTAGAATTTTTAGAGCTTGTGACTCAAGAAAGAAAATCTTTGTAGATTCATGTTTAAGACAATAGACTTTCATTTGTAATTTTAGTTTGGAGGCATTTAGAAGTAGCCAGCAGATCATCTTCACTGCACATCAGTGAACTAAAGTCGACAAATGCTTCGACCCTGTCTTCGTTATATCCCACAACAAACAGCGGCTGATGACACCAGTTTCCTGTTGTTTTATTCTTTGGCTTCCTGCATTAGGCCCTTGACTGGCCAGACACCTTTTGACTTGTTGGAGTCGTATCAGTGCACAGACTTATTTCAGAAATTATAAATCTATTTTAAGAAAGTATTATAAATAGTCATAGCTACCAGGTATGTCTTAAGAGATGACCTTATGTATGATGTGCAGTCTCACTGGCTGTAGTGTCCAGTGCTTTAGAGATGACCTTATGTATGATGTGCAGTCTCACTGGCTCCATTGTCCAGTGCTTTGACTTCTCCCATGGTATTTACCCGTGAAATATTAGCTGTTTAGTGGTCAGTACTTCATTGAACTGCTCCATACCACTGGCCTTATTGCAGCTACAAAGAGCAGTTAAGTGATTTCTCATGGAGCAGCTTTATAAGCACACGTTAACTTTATTAATTGCCTTTGGCTGAAGAGTGAGTTCAATAATTCTGTTGGTACCAGAGGACAGTTAAATTAGATATAAATCATTGCATGGTTTGTTTCATAGTAATGACAATTTTAACTCTGCTAGACCAATCAGGACAAAAACAACCAACATTTCAGCTCTGGAAGTTATGCCTGTAATTTGTATTCGTTTGACATTGTAAGTTACTTGTTACTAGTAGACAGACACTTGACATTGTAAGTTACTTGTTACTAGCAGACAGACACTTGACATTGTAAGTTACTTGTTACTAGCAGACAGACACTTGACATTGTAAGTTACTTGTTACTAGCAGACAGACACTTGACATTGTAAGTTACTTGTTACTAGCAGACAGACACTTGACATTGTAAGTTACTTGTTACTAGCAGACAGACACTTGACATTGTAAGTTACTTGTTACTAGCAGACAGACACTTGACATTGTAAGTTACTTGTTACTAGCAGACAGACACTTGACATTGTAAGTTACTTGTTACTAGCAGACAGACACTTGACATTGTAAGTTACTTGTTACTAGCAGACAGACACTTGACATTGTAAGTTACTTGTTGCTAGCAGACAGACACTTGACATTGTAAGTTACTTGTTACTAGCAGACAGACACTTGACATTGTAAGTTACTTGTTGCTAACAGATAAACACTTCACATTGTAAGTTACTTGTTGCTTACAAACACTTCACATTGTAAGTTACTTGTTGCTAACAGACAAACATTAGTCATTGACATTGTAAGTTACTTGTTGCTTACAAACACTTCACATTGTAAGTTACTTGTTGCTAACAGACAAACATTTGCCATTGACATTGTAAGTTACTTGTTGCTAACAGACAAACACTTGCCATTGACATTGTAAGTTACTTATTACTAACAGACAAACACTTGCCATTGACATTGTAAAGTTACTTGTTGCTAACAGACAAACACTTGCCATTGACATTGTAAAGTTACTTGTTGCTAACAGACAAACACTTGGCATTGACATTGTAAGTTACTTGTTTCTAACAGACAAACACTTGTCATTGACATTGTAAGGTACTTGTTGCTAACAGACAAACACTTGTCATTGACATTGTAAAGTTACTTGTTGCTAACAGACAAACACCTGCCATTGACATTGTATGTTACTTGTTTCTAACAGACAAACACTTGCCATTGACATTGTAAGGTACTTGTTTCTAACAGACAAACACTTGTCATTGACATTGTAAGTTACTTGTTACTAACAGACAAACACTTGCCATTGACATTGTATGTTACTTGTTGCTAACAAAATCTGGACATTGACATTGTATGTTACTTGTTGCTAAGAAACACTTGCCATTGACATTGTTTGTTACTTGTTGCTTACAGACAAACACTTGCCATTGACATTGTAAGTTACTTGTTGCTTACAGACAAACACTTGCCATTGACATTGTTTGTTACTTGTTGCTAAGAAACACTTTCCATTGACAATGTAAGTTACTTGTTGCTTACAGACAAACACTTGCTGTTTCACTTATTATGTCTTGTGTAAAGCCAGAAAACATGAAACTGTTTTAAATGACAGATCATCTAGGGAGACAATACTCAGAGAGAGAATCAAACCTGGGACTAGATGTTGCTTGCCTGGATATGTTGGATGTAAAAATAGCCAGACTGGGAAAGAGATGGTTAGCTTCTGTAAACTTTATCTGCTTAAGGAGATGGAGTATTTGTGGACTTTCTTTGTGTCATGGCTTCGCAGCTGGTAACAAATATTAGGAAAATGGCAATGCCCTTTTCAGAGACTGTGTAAAAAAAAAAAGATTTCTGGAGAACACAGTGTTCAGTTCATATAAAAAAAACTGTGTTTCATGTGTGATAAGTTAATAATTGGATGTTGCCATTGTGTTTGAGGATATATTCAGATAAAAGCATTTATATATGTCATTTAACCTAGTCATCCCGGGAAGTAGCAAAACAGACACTTTCGGCTGGGTTCACTTCCAGCAGAGAGTCAATTCTGACTTGATTATAGTGACCTGTTGATAAGATGCCTAGCTATTACTAACTAATAAAACTGTTATCGCTTGTGCACACACTTTTGTATGTGTGGACAACACAGGAATTACTACATTTACTAAAATAGCTTTTAGAGGGGTTTTCCTGGGAAAGGGGGGGGGGTGGTTTTCTGACAAAGTCAACAAATGTTAGGGCCAGTTTTGCAATGTCCAGTAAAAGACACACAACTTGATTTTATTAAACTATTTCCTAACCCTCTTCTTTCCTCTACTCCTGGATTGCCTCGCAGGATCAAGACAGGAAGAGATCTCCAGAATGGGCCCTTCTGTTCGCTTTGTCTAAAATATTTTTCAGTGTCATCTTCTGCACAGTCGACCGCTTGATTCTGTTACCATTGTATAAAATTGGCTTTATTACTAGAAATTGGGAGACTATAAATAATTTTCCCTACTGGTTGCAGTGTTAATCTGCAGCTGGTTTGTGTGGTTGTTGTAAACAGTTATATTTAAATTCACAGAGATGCGACCCGGTTAATTGTCTGCTGAATTTATGTTTACTGATAACTCCCTTATTCTGTATGAAATTTATTATTGTTTTACTCAATGAAATTGTTAGGATTCTGTGCTGACCTATGTACAGTGGTTGTATTTTGGGAGAGGGTTTTGTTCAGAAATATCACTGACATTGTTTTTTAGAAGTCACTGCTGGGGGAAGCGGGGGGGGGGGGGGGGGGGGGGGGGGGGGGGGGGGGGACAGAGTTAATGTTGTAAAAGGATGTCTTGCAGATGAGAGGGAAATAAATGGTATCAGAATGGCTGATTTGGGGTTTGGGGAGAGAAGTAAACAACTTCCAGTGAATCAGGAGGCAACAGGGAAACGCTGACATTGGATAGAAAACACACTGAGGAAGCCATTAAATGTAATTAGAATGCCTTTTTAGTGGAGTTTACTGGGTCAAAGAAATAAAGGCAGATTACAAAACACTCAGAGAAGAGAATAAGGTAGTTAAATACTTTTTCAGAATCTCTACTCACTGCCACTCCTTCTTTTTCGGTCGGTAGCAAAAATAAACATCCTGACCTGCACAGTCCGTGACGACAGCACTGGCCGTGGACCCTAAATCGTCAGGCTCACCACTTGCCTGGCTACACTACCCTAAAAAATGGATACTACTGACAGTTGCTGACATCACAACCCAGCAGAGAGACTGGCTGCTTCCAGATCCTATGCCTCATGGAAATTTACATGTCCAGCCCTGTCTTGGTTAACTCCTGTCTCGGTTAACTCCTGTCTTGGTTACCTCCTGTCTCGGTTAACTCCTGTCTCGGTTAACCCCTGTCTTGGTTACCTCCTGTCTCGGTTACCTCCTGTCTCGGTTAACTCCTGTCTCGGTTAACTCCTGTCTCGGTTAACTCCTGTCTCGGTTACCTCCTGTCTCGGTTAACTCCTCTCTCGGTTAACTCCTCTCTCGGTTAACTGCTGTATCTTCTTCAAGGAGTCCTCTCTGTCATCACTATCTTTTCTAAATCATTGTGAGATTTATTGTGGTCACTGAGTGTCGACTTGTGAACCATGATGATGTGGTTCTGTCTGCCCCCTCCAGGCTGATACGGGATGTTTTGATCACCTTTGCGACTTCAAGAATCGCATCCTGGATCGTAATCCTACAGGGCAAACTGAGATGGTCTGTTCAAATATAGGGAAGTTATAATTAGGTTATCCTGCAGTCTTGTTGGGGTAAGGGACATTATCCCTGCAGTCTTGTCTGAGTCAGGGATGTTATCCTGCAGTCTTGTCGGGGTAAGGGACATTATCTATGCAGTCTTGTTGGGGTAAGGGACATTATCTATGCAGTCTTGTTTGAGTCAGGGATGTTACCCTGCAGTCTTGTTTGGGTAAGGGACATTATCCCTGCAGTCTTGTTTGGGTAAGGGATGCTATCCCTGCAGTCTTGTTGGGGTAAGAGACATTATCCTGCAGTCTTGTTTGGCTCAGGGAGGTTACCCTGCAGTCTTGTTGGGGTAAGAGACTTTATCCTGCAGTCTTGTCTGGCTCAGGGAGGTTACCCTGCAGTCTTGTTAGGGTAAGGGACATTATCCCTGCAGTCTTGTTTGGGTAAGGGACATTATCCATGCAGTCTTGTTTGAGTCAGGGATGTTA